GTGTATATATATACACACACACACACAATGGAATATTGCTCAGTCATAAAAAAGAATGAAATCTTGCCATTTGCAATGATGTGGATGGAACTAGAAGTGTATTATGCTAAGAAAAATAAATCAGAGAAAGACCAATACCATATGATTTCACTCATGTGTGGACTTTGAGAAATGAAACAGGATCATGAGGGGGGCGGTGGGAAGAGAGAGGCAAACCATAAAACAGACTCTTGAGGACATACTGAGGGTTGCTGGAGGGAAGGTGGGCAGTGGGATGGGTTAAATGGGTGATGGATATTAAGGTGGGCACTTGTGATGAGCACTGAGTGTTACATGTAAGTGAAGAATCATTAAATTCTCCTGAAACTAATATTATACTATATGTTAACTAGAATTAAAAAAAAAACAAAAAACCTTGAAACAAAAAAAAAAAAAAAAGAAAAGAAAATGAAAACACAACATACCAAACTTATGGGATGTAGCTAAAGCTGTACTTATAGGGAAATTTACAGCTGTAAATACCTATATTAAAACAAAAAGAATCTCAAATTAATAATCTAACCTTTTCCTTTAAGACACTGGAATAAGAACAAATTAAAGCAATCAGGAGGAAATGAGATTAGAGCAAATAATGAAATATAGAATAGAATACCATCAGAGAAAAATCAATGACACCAAAAGTAGGTTCTTTGAAAAGATCAACAAAATGTACAAATATTTAGCTAGAGTGACTAAGAAAAAAAAGACTCAAATTACTGAAATCAAAAGTTAAAGAGGGAATATTACTACTGACCTTTCTGATGCAAAAAGGATTATACGGGAATACTATGAACAACTATATGCCAACAAATTAGATAATTAACAAATCCCTAGAAAGACACAAATAATCAGAATTGACTCAAGAATAAATAGAAAATCAGAATAGACTTATGAGAAGAGAATTAATAATTTATTTAAAAGCACAAAGAAAACTCCAGAATTAGTGGCAATTCTTCACAAACTCTTCCAAAAAATATAAGACAAGGAAACACATCCCAATGCATTTATAAGGCCCCTATTGCCATGACACCAAAATCAGGGAATGATACATCTCAAGAAAACTATATGCCAATGTCTTTCATGAATATCGATGCGAACATTCTCAACAAAAGACTAGCGAATAAAAATGTCATGTGTAAATCATGCATCTGATAAGGAGCTTATATCTTGAATACAAAAATAGTGCTTACAACTCAATAATAAAGACAACCGAATTTTAAGACAGGCAAATGAATACACATTTCTTCAAAGAAGAAATACAAATGGACAATGAACTCATTAAAGGATGCTCAGTGTCTTTAGCCTGCAGGGAAATGCAAATCAAAGCCACAAAGAGACACCACCTCACATTCACTAGGATGGCTAGAACAAAAAACACAGATAATAACAAATGTCGTCAAGGATGTAGAAAAATTGTAACCCTTGCACACTGCTGGAGGTGTAAAATGCTTCAGTCACTCTGGAAAACAGGCTGGTTGCTCCTCAGATTTTTAAACATAAAGTTTCCATACACTTGGAAATCCTACTTTATAGGTAGGTACCAGAGAGAAAACATGTTCACACAAAATCTTGTACATGAATGTTCACAGAAACATTATTTATAATAGCCAAAAAGTACAAATAAGCCAATGTCCATTAACTGATGAATGGATAGAGAAAATGTGATATATTCATACAGTGGATTATTATTCAATAATAAAAAGGAATGGAGTTGTGGTACACTCTATAATATGGATAAGCCTTGAAAACATTATGCTAAATGAAAAAATCACATATTATATGATTACATTTATATGAAATGTCCAGAATAGGCAGAGCCTTAGAGACAGAGAGATTATTGGTTACCTAGGGCTGAGGGTGGGGGTAAATGTTGGACACAAGGTGAGAAGTGACTGCTAATGTTTACAGGGTTTCTTTTGGGAGTGATAAAAATGTTCTAAACTTGATTGTTGTGATGGTGCACAACTATGTGAATACACACAAAACAACCAAATTGTGCACTTTTTATCTTATTTTATTTAAATTTAATTAATTAACATATAGTGTATCATTAGTTTCAGAGGTAGAGTTCAGTGATTCATCACCAGTGCTCATTACATCACATGCCCTCCTTAATGCCCGTCACCCACTTACCCCAACCCCCCAACCCCCTCCCCTCCAGCAACCCTCAGTTTGTTTCCTATAGTTAAGAGTCTCTTAAGGTTTGTCTCCCTCACTGGTTTCATCTTGTTTTATTTTTTCCTCTCTTCCCCTCTGACTTGGTAGATATGGCCAGTAAGTACATCATGCTGGTCAGTGATTTGGCCACATCTTTGAATAAAAGGACAATAATGCAGAGTGGCTGGAAGGCCATGCCTATGTCCAAGTGAGACATGATTTCAGTGTGGGAACCCAGGGGGATATCTGAGAGTCATTGCTGTGAAGAGGGGAGACATTTGGAGAGACCTAGTGAGGTCTGTGAGTTAGGAAGTGGTTCCTGTGGGTGATGGGCTGACTGTCCCATAAATCTGGGGATGATGGGAGAGTAGCTAGGTGACTTGGGAGAGTAGATAACACAGGAGATTCTCTGAGCACTGGAGGTGAAGTGATAAGGGACATGGGGGAGGAACCCAGTGAGGTCCATGAGTTAGTAAAGTGTTTCCTGTGGGTAACAGGCTGACTCTCACAGAAATCTGGAGATGGTTGGAGAGTAGCTAGTGACTTGGGAGATTCTCTAAGTGACGTGGGTGAAGTGCTTGGTGATGAAAGTAAGAAGATACAGTATATTGTTGGTAGATATGATGACTCCGAAGAAGCCCCAGAAGACAGAGCAGACCCCAGTGGCTTTGGTAATTGTCTGGCATCTTTGGAGAGGGCAATGTGAAGTGGAATGTGGGTAATGATGGGGGTGAATTTGGTGAACTTCTGGGGGAGGATGGTACATAGACCAGCGACCCCAGGGAGGAGTTTCACATTATGGATGTGTTCCTGGTAGAGGGGAATGAGAAGCTGCCTGAGGTTGGCATGTAGTTTGCAGTGTCTGGGCTGAGGGACCCTTCAGAGGAGCCAGATCCACTCTCCTCAGATGCAATCACGACTGCAGCTCCCATCCTGCTCCTTCTCTGACCCCAGAAATGGAGAGTAGCGGTGTGTGTGCGTGTTGCGGGGGGTGGTGGGGGTGCCCTCTGAACAAACGCGAGAATAAACGAAGGAAACACACAGACAGACTTACTTATGAAGTGTTCGGTCCTGTCCTCTGAATTGGATTCCACGCAGGTAGAACTCTGGAAGAAACGAGCGCAGGGAGCTCGGGCAGACCGCTCTGAACACCGCTCTCCTGGGGAAGATCTGAGCGGAGAAAGACCGGGGCGAGCTTTAATACCAGTGGGCGGGGCCTGGGCGGGGCCTGGGCGGGGCTTTACACCTGCGCCCGCACATCACTTCCAGCGACCAGGCTCTGCCCAGCAGAAACTTGATGTCATGTTTAAAGTTTTGTTGTTTTTTTTTAAAAGATTTTATTTATTTATTTATTTGCGAGAGAGACAATGAGAGACAGAGAGCATGAGAGGGAGGAGGGTCAGAGGGAGAAGCAGACTCTCTGCCGAGCAGGGAGCCCGACGTGGGACTCGATCCCCAGGACTCCGGGATCATGACCTGAGCCGAAGGCGGTCGCTTAACCGACTGAGCCACCCAGGCGCCCAGGCATGTTTAAAGTTTGAGACAAACTTTGATTTGATTTGATTTCATGTTTACAGTTTGAAACAATTTTTTTTTTAAGATTTTTTTTTATTTATTTATTTGACAGAGAGAGACACAGCGAGAGAGGGAACACAAGAGGGGGAGTGGGAGAGGAAGAAACAGGCTTCCCGCCAATTAGGGAGCCCGATGCGGGGCTCGATCCCAGGACCCGGGATCATGACCTGAGCCGAAGGCAGTCGCTTAACCGACTGAGCCACCCAGGCGCCCAGTTTGGAAAAATTTAAGGTAAGAACTTAGAACTTTTGTGAGCCAAATATAAATTAACTCCATTTAAACATTTAAAACCATTCTAGCGCTGTGATTCTGATTGTGAGCCTGGACCAAAGGCATTGTTGCAAACCCTCAAACCCCAGCCAAGATCTGCTGAATCAGAAACCCTGGGGTCGGGTTTCTGGGAACTCAGAAATCTGTGTTATAAGAAACCCACCCTCCTGATATTGATGCATGGCAAAGTTTGAGAACCACCTGTGTGAGGGAAAATAAATTTTGTTTTTTAAAGTTAAGATACATTTGTAAAAATAAAATTCTTATCTGGGGAAATAGGAGCTAGGTGGGTAGGGATTGATTGCATTTGGTGATTAGGTTAGGAATTTGAATCAGTGGTTCCAGATAATCAGATCCTCTAATTCATTGTTTAAATTATATGAAATTGTTTAAATTGTTTAAGTTATGCTAATTACTGAGAATTGCAATGCTCAAGTGTGCCAGATAAGTGATTTTTTTAAAAAAGATTTATTTATTTATTTATTTATTTATTTATTTGAGAGAGAGAGAGCGCAGGGGGGCTGATTCCAGGACCGTGAAATCATGACCTGAGCCAAAATCAAGAGTCTGCTGCATAACCAGCTAAGCCACCCAGGTACCCTGTGACAGCTAAGTGATTTTATGTAAAGGTTCACATCAGAATGTAAATCTTATTTTCCACCCTCATTTGCTTGTGGGCTCATTCAGGGTCAACCCCTCCTGTTCCTTGGGTTGGTGTCTCAATTCCAAAGACTTTCAGAGACATTAAGGGGGAGAAGGAGGTTATGTCTGAAACTCTTCCACCATCCATCACCTTGTTAAAGAAATATCAACATTTGTTTTATTCTTTCATTATAATTATTTTCCAAGCTTCCTGAAATGAATTATAAGACTTTAATTTCTGCTTCTCTGTTTAACATATAGGATAAATGTTGGTGACGTCCCATGATCTGCTGTCATTCTATTTTAAATTTGATGAATTTTCTCATTTCTTTTTTTTTTTTTTTTAGATTTTATTTATTTATTTGACAGAGACACAGCAAGAGAGGGAACACAAGCAGGGGGAGTGGGAGAGGGAGAAGCAGGCTTCCTGCGGAGCAGGGAGCGCAATGCGGGGCTCCATCCCAGGACCCTGGAATCATGACCCGAACCAAAGGCAGATGCCCAACGACTGAGCCACCCAGGCGCCCCGAATTTTCTCATTTCTTTTAACCCTAGATCACAGCTGATATTTTTAATCTTTATTTATTGTGTCAAATCCAACTTATGAACCATGAAACTTTTTAAAGATATTGGAAACATTCTTTTTGCTTAGTAAATGATTCCTTTTACATCAATAGGCATTTATAAAGATGTCCATCACTTTTATATAACATTCAACACGTTAAATCAGGATCTCTAATAGTCAACCACATAATTCCTTCCTTTACATGATACATATAACGAGTATGAGGTCAGTTAAAATATCCCCCCTGAGCATCTGTTTCTCTTTACCCCCTTTGTGCTTCCTGGAGATAGGGCACAGGGGGCCAGACAGACTTGGAACTTTGTTCAACCCAGATCCATCTCTACAATGTGGCAGAAACTGATCCAAGTTCATTTCAAAACATGACCCTCTTTTATGTTTTCCAGTACTAATGACAATATCTTCATCTTTTCCTAACTTTCAATATTTTTCTGTGATTTGGGGGTGCAGGGGGATTATTTAAATACTTGGGATTAAAATCATAGATTATACTGCATATTTGTGAAAGACAGCCCCGGGCTATGTGATTGTGTCCCTGCTCCCGACCAGACCATTATTTTCAGAATTCAGCAACCCTGCGTCTACTTACTCTACTCAGACGTCTACTTTGCAGTGGTTGCGATCTCTGCCTGATCATGTCAGGTGATACGTGGGTTTCAAATCCCGAGTTGCATATTTTGAAGATTTCTCCAGGCATTCTGATGCGTCTTCCTAGGAGAATGTTCTCTTCTGATTAAAGCTACTAGACCACAGAGAATGTGGCAGAACAGGGATAGGGATAAAACCTGGGAATTATAATTGAATGTGGCAGACACGAGGCCATTTGGGTCCTGTTCTACCAGGAGCAGAAGGTAATTTTTGGCCAAGGGGGAAATAACAGCTCCACAGAGGAAATTTTTTGTTTGTTTCTCTGTTAAGCGGAGTAACAGATTTTTATCCCATAGACATGTAGGATCCGATGTCAGTTGTTGGTCAGACAATCCATTACAAACTCTTTGTAAAACATTTTATCTAATTTTATTTTAAAGACTTTATTTATTTGTGTGAGAGAGAGAGAGAGCACACAAGCAGGGAGAAGCAGAGGCAGAGGGAGAAGCAGGCTCCCAGCTGAGCAAGGAGCCTGATGTGGGACTCGATCCCAGGACCCTGGATCATGACCTGAGCTGACAGCAGATGCTGAACTGACTGAGGCACCCAGCATCCCTTTGTAAAACATTTTAAATGTCTTCATGATATTTCTATCACGGATAAGCCAAATTTTTCTATCCATTTTGCTAATGTTGACATTTCCTTTTTTCTTTACCAATTTTTCATTATTACATTGTATTGATGCTCCATGGGCATTTATCCTTGTCAAGAGAAATGACTGGAGCAAAGGATCTAAGTATCTGAGTGGCTCTTGATTATATTGTTAGATTACTTTCTAGGAAGGCTTTCTCATCTTCCGTTCTTTTAGCAGCATGAATGGAAGTGTGGGTCTTACCAAACCGCGCCTTCTGTACCTCCATCTCTGGAATTGGACTACACAATTTTAAAAAACCCTTCTTTTTAATTTGATATCACAAATGAGGTTAAACCTTATTTTCATACATCTTATCACTGAGTCAGTTTTGTGTGTGTATATGTGTATATGTGTTTGAGGAAGGTGGATAGGTGATATTTTCATTGTAGAAAATGGTGTCAAGAAAAGCCTTTTGGACTCATCTCTGAAGCAAAACTTTGCTGGAGAGTCATCTTTGGTGATCATACAAGACAGGTTCTGGCCCCACCTGTTGAAGGTCCTCAAAGGGCTGATTTTGGAGTGCCTGGGTGGCTCAGGGACTGACTCTGTTTTAGCTCAGCTCATCATCTCAGGATCATGAGATCCAGCCTCACATCAGGCTCTGCATTCAGTGCAGTCTGCTTAGGATTCTCTCTCTCTCTCCCGCTGTGCCTCTCCCCACCCTGCTTGCCCGCATCCACGCTCTCTTTCTAAGACAAATAAGATAAAAACAGAGAGGGAGGCAAACCATGAGACCCTTAACTATAGGAAACAACCTGAGGGTTGCTGGAGGGGAGGTAGGTAGGGGGATGGGATAACTGGGTGATGGGCATTGAGGAGAGCATGTGATGTAATGAGCACTGGGTGTTATATGCCACTGATGAATCACTAAATTCTATCCCTGAAACTAATAATACACTATATGTTAACTAAAGTGAGTTTAAATACAAAATCCTAAAAATAAATAAAATCTTAAAAAGGGGGGGGTAATTTTTCTCTCCAGTTCCTGGGGTGTCGGCTAGATGCCCTCATTTACTCTACCCAGTAGATATTAAGGACAAAAATTATGGAGCAAGGAGACCTTGAGATGGGAGATTCATTTTTAAGTTGCTTTCATTAGTAAGTTTCAGCATCGTGATTACAGTGGATCTAGGAGGCATTGCAAATAGCCCTACTGATTTATTTAGATGAACAGATACAATTCTTTATAAAAATGCCCAGTCTTTTCCCCTCCCCAGGAATAACATGGATCTTTTCGGAAAATTAAATGTTTTTATCAATGCTGTGGTGACCTGGATTCAAAGGGTGCAAACTTTGCCAGTAAAATTACACCGAGAGTCAGCTGGCTGACTGGGAAGAGATGCTAACCACATATGCTCCAACCCAGGATGGGGTAGTAGAAAATCAATTATCGTCTCATTTGTTCCAGAGGGGTGGTAGATGGGGTACTGTTTTCCTCGAGAGGAAGTAAACCCATATTTCAGTCAGGTTCTTGCATATCTGGCTGGGTGATATGAGGTCCTCCAACCTTGAACAATGGGAGCAACTGTTAGAAGCAGGGGGATTAAGGAAACCATTCTGGAAAGAGAAATATCAACTGGAATCCCATTTAGATATTTGGTTCCTAAGTCCATATATCTAATGTGTACTTTAGAGTTGGCGTTTGTATTTCTCCCCTTTATAGCTTATCTCCTGGATGATTAATCCACACTTTGCCTTCCCCACTCCCCACCTCCATGTGATGAGATGGGCCAATAATTAAAACCTTTTTTTCTTGTTTTCTTCCTAAGCTTTAACCAAGAGCAAATAAGGGCTCTTGCTGAAGGTGAACTGCCAGTAATTCCAACCATTTTTTGAAAATCTTGTCCCTTCAGTGATAAATATGACCAAATATACCTGAGGTTGGGCCCATTTATTAATGGTTTTTATATGTTCTTACACAGCCCGTGGGCCTATCCACCAGAGAGGCAAGTAATAAAAATGCCAACTTCTGAGTGTCAGTGAGAGGCCTGAGCTGGAATTTTAGATGTGAGATCAAACAGTTTCCAGGTCATCAGTCTAGTGAAGGTTCTGTTTCCTGTATGGACCTACATTAAGCCTTTTTTATCATTCGTCCAAAACTTTGATGTTGACCAACACTTGCCTGCAGGAAATTTGGACTGATCAACATAAAACATCTTTCGTGAAGACTATTATAAGTTTGGTCCTGTCATGGACTGAATGTTTATGTTCCCCACCACCACCACCACCCAAATTCTAAGGTTGAAATCCTAACCCCCAATGTGATGGTATTAGGAGATGGGAGCCTTTGGGCCATGATTAGTTCATGAGGGTGAATTCGCCACAAATGGGATTAGTGCCCTTATAGAAGAGATTCCAGAGACCCCTCTTGTCCTTCTGCCATATGAAAACACAGCAAGAAAATGACCGCCTGTGAACCAGGAAGTGAGTCCTCACCAGTCACTGAATCTGCTGGTGCTTTCCTCTTACTGTTTAAACCATCCAGTCTACAGTATTTTTGTTACACCAGCCTAAACGGACTAAGGTAGTGCCTTGCTTAGGCACTCCCATATAGACCTACCTTGGTCTAGTGGTCCGTGACTAATGGTTTCTCAATGCTTGGTGTTCCTGCCTGGCTGGTAGGCATTCCACTTGGGTTAGGGGTCCCTATAGCCTCTGTAACACCACCAAAGTGTCTCTGAACATGTTTTTACCTATTATCCACAAGATATTACAAGCCCATTTCTATTTTTCTGCCTTAAGCTAAGTTACTCACCGAGTCCTTGTTCTACATCACTGCTGCAGGATTGCTGGTTCCACGGGATAAATGTGTAACCCAAGAAGCTGTGCAGCCTTTCATAGTGTTAATGCTGCTGATTCCAATTTAACGCCAGTTTTAACCTAGTCTCCATCTCCTACTTAAACATTTGTATTCTAGTTCAGTGTTTTCTGACCAATTTGAATGTCTCGTGAAAACAAATCCACAATTTTAGCTTCATTTAAAGCTAGAGACTTTAGTTTTCCTTTTATTAAAAAAATACAACTGGATTTGATCCAGGAATAACAGAAAACAATACCCCCCCACACACACAGTAGTCATCCCCTCTTCCCATTTTGGCAGAGAAGTCATAATTGGATGCTCATACACAGGTGGAAGCTGCACTACACGGGGATCTGTGGTGACTGGGTATCCAACTTCTTGGGAGCACATCTTGGAATTGGCTGTATTGTATACAGGTCGAGATAACAAATGCTATCAGCAACACCTAAAATCTATCCACCAGATTACAAAAAGAGATTTCAACTCCCTCTACCCCAGGGCAACATAAATACTAAAGCAGAGAGTACACCTAGTATCAGTGGTGGAATCCCGATACAATTAGTAGAGAAGAGTAATATCAGAGAATACAAATAAACGGCTTTGGTATTTTATCAGAAAAATATCCTTTGGCTTTTCTACAGGTTTGGTTCTTTTTTTTTTTTTTATTTGAAGAGAAAGACACAGTGAGAGAGGGAACACAAGCAGGGGGAGGGGGAGAGGGAGAAGCAGGCCTCCCGCGGAGCAGGGAGCCCGATGCGGGGCTCGATCCCAGGACCCCGGGATCATGACCTGAGCCGAAGGCAGCTGCTTAATGACTGAGCCACCCAGGCGCCCCGGTTTGGTTCTTTTTTAACCTAATCCCCGCTACTAAAATTTCAGCGCATTCCACTTATGATCATATCACATATTATTACTATTTTACATTGTATCATGACAGGTGGTGACTACACTTATGATGAGCATTGAATTGAATAATGCATAGAATTGTCTAATCAATATGCTATACACCTGAAACTAATGTAACATTGTATGTTAATTATACTTCCATTTAAAAAATAGCAAATACAGGTTACTGGCCTGTCCTTAAGGTTTTTCAAAAGTACAGAAAAATCATGTACTTACACCCATAGAAAGTTCCAGCCTGCCACAAAATGTCCCATAGGAGTAGCGTGGTCCTTGTCGGTTCAGAAAGTGAGTAATGGTGGAGAAAAATGTGGACAAACCAAATAGAAAACAAGAGGGAGAGTTTATGGTCAGAAGATTCAGGAACCTGTCTGATCTGCAATGAACCAAAGGCAGAGGTATCAACTATCCAGACCTGAACAAACACGGTCAGAGAATGAACTTGTAGAACCTGGGCAAGAAAAAGGAACAACATCCAAGCAAATATCCAAATTTCAAGAACTTGATCCAACATCTAAATTCAAGGAATGCTCCCTGAAGGACTGAGGAAATGATCGCAAAGACTGTCATGACCTCAGAATGAACATTCATTCAATAGAACATAAAAGTTGTTAAAGAGTCCAGACAGGTGATATTAGTACAGAAAGGTTTATCAATCACTAACCCATTTCCACCTAAATACCATCCTCAGTGGACCACAAATCAATACCACATTGGCGAGAAGACAGAAAATCCAACTTTACTGTTTCAACATGAACATCCGCTTGGCAAATGCCAAAATCGATGTTTTAAATGGAACAGTACTTTTTTTTTTTAATATATGTATTTTTTAAAGATTTTATTTATTTATTTGACAGAGAGAGACACAGCGAGAGAGGGAATATAAAGCAGGGGAAGTGGGAGAGGGAGAAGCAGGCTTCCCGCTGAGCAGGGAGCCCGATGCGGGGCTCGATCCCAGGACCCTGGAATCATGACCTGAGCCGAAGGCAGACGCTTAACGACTGAGCCACCCAGGCGCCCGGGAACAGTACTATTTTTACAGCAAAATCTATAAAATTCACTAATTCTGTTACACCTCAAGCTAATCCAAGTAAGGATTAAATTAACCTAAGCAGTAAAAACTGTCTGTCACTGACTTGTTCCTAGTTTTACAAAAAAGTTTTAAGAGCTTTTGAATCTTTACTGGCAACAACCAAAGTTACTTAATATTAGCTTGCTAATTTGACCTGGTTTTATGATCTCTCCCCCTTTCTCATGCCCAGCATCTGAACTCTTTTTACATGACAATTTTTTCACTAGAAAACAAATGGACATCACCCAGAGATCCCAGACTTAGAAGTGGATGTAATGATGTGAATCTCTGTGTTATCCCTACATGGGGAAGACAGTGATTTGTCTTTGATTTTGAGAGATAGCTGTATTATGTTACAGGGGAGGCTCTATATACATATTTAAATCAAAGTACAGAAGGTGAAGAAAATGTTGACTTATGGGTTAGGCAGAAGAGAGGGCTATACTGGAAATTTTCCTTGCTGCTGCTTTGCAAATGAATAAAATTCTACAAATGACGGATTCTCTACTTAATTAGTATGAGTGGAAGGTCAAGTTCACCTACCACTACAAGCTCCAGGAAATACAAGGGCTAGTGCCTCTGAATTCTTAAACTACCACGTAGCACAGCTTAGGATCCACCAGACCTAGGCACTCACCTCAGACTTGGAATCAAAATAAATCAATGTAGAGATATACTAAGAAAATTAAGAAACTTTGGGAACGTTAAGGAACTCTCATAGGGCTCCACAGCATAAGTCTGGCAATCGTTTCTATAAATCCCTGAACATGATCTTACCGCTTCTTGCCAATTCTTGGACTCACCTAATATCCTTTCAATAAACTCCTTTTTCTGAATCAACTGGCTAACGTTGGCGCACGTGCTTCCCAACTAAGAACCCAGGTTGCTACAATTTGTAAAGAATAATGTGTTATTCACTGATGTGATCCGTTGAGTCTTCTACAGTCAAACAGTCCGGGGGCAACCTCTGTCAACAAACTGGAAAAAAATACTTATTTTTCAGGATAAAGTTCTAAAGGCATAGGTAATTTAACTGGTCTTGTCAGGTATGTTAAGTAAGACACACAGAATAGATGCTACTGATTGAGCGCAAAATCCAAATGAAATTTAAAAATACAAAAGTGTATCTGAAAACAGTATTTAAAAATCTGGATCTCCCCTCTCCTAGCTGAAATCTCGCTCTCAAAAACAAAAAACAAAAAACACATTTATCTTTTCCAGCCTAGAAGTAAGCTGAAACATCAAACCACAAAATGAGGTGGGGAGAGTACAAAAGCAGTAGAAGCCGAGCAGGAGTGTGAGAGGACACATAACTAGTTAACACTGGTATATGGTATATTTCAAAGTTGCTAGAGAGTAAATCTTAAGGGTTCTCATCAGGAGGGAAAACAAAAAACCCCATGGTTCTGTCTCTACATGAGATGATGAATGTTAACTGTGATAATCATTTCACAATATATGTAAATCAAGTCATGCTGTGTACCCTAAACTTACACAGTGCAGTATGTCAACTGTATCTCAGTAACGCTGGGGAAGTGAAAAATTGGTTCTAGGAGAGTATTTCCTAACATCTAGGTATTTTGGTCACTTTTCATTTATTTCTAATTTTACTGGAGTATGGTGAAAGAAATTTGGCTTGTAAAATCACTATAAATTCTTCCATGGCAAAGTACAGCTTTATTTTTGTGGATTTTACACAGACAAAAAATTTTTATGCAAGGGACATATGTAATTAAATCAAGCTATTGAGTCCCCTTTTTAACCTTAAATTTTAGGTTCAGAAGTTTAATTACATATTTTGGCATGCTGTCACATGCCTTAAACTTATTATTGATAATAATTTCAATCAATAATCAATAAAAATTGATGATAATTTTTGGTCGACTATCTTTAAGAGTATTTTTCCTACAAGGGAAATTATTGAGCAAATAATATAAATTAACATTTTTGTTTATTAATTGAATCTTTTTTTTTTAAAGATTTTATTTATTTATTTGAGAGAGAGAGAATGAGAGAGAGCAAGCACATGAGAGGGGGGAGGGTCAGAGGGAGAAGGAGACTCCCTGCTGAGCAGGGAGCCCGATGCGGGACTTGATCCAGGGACTGAAGGATCATGACCTGAGCCGAAGGCAGTCGCTTAACCAACTGAGCCACCCAGGCGCCCTAATTGAATCTATCTTATTTCAATGCACTTGGCAATCCTTAATCCCCACTCAGAAACTGATATAATACTTATGACGTAGTCCACACAGACTTACATATTCAAGCTGGCCAGAAATACACACACACATACACACTTCAAAAATTTTGCAGTTTTAAAAATTTCACTTTCAATGAAATATTTTCAATGTTTACTGAAGAGATTACTTTGCAATAAATCAGTTCCCAAACTTGAAAATATTCAGAGCCCTCATTCTTCGCCCAGTTGGCTTTACACTCATTTGTACAATCATGGCTTCGTGCCTTCAAAGTAAGATTCAAGATGCCCAATGAAAATCATCCTAGCACTGGTATTGTTGGGTTTTCTTTTGAAGATTTTATTTAATTTGACAGAGAGAGACAGTGAGAGAGGGAACACAAGGAGGAGGAGTGGGAGAGGGAGACGCAGGCTTCCCACTGAGCAGGGAGCCTGATGTGGGGCTTGATCCCAGGACCTTGGGATCATGACCTGAGCCGAAGGCAGATGCTTAACGACTGAGCCACCCAGGCTCCCCACTGGTATTGGTTTTATCTATAATTTGGGGGGGCGCGGAGAAGAAGCCTATTCAGGTCCCGTTGCTAAATTAGGACTTTTCACCATTTTATATCCTCCCCAAAAGACAATGCACGGAGAACCCTGCTATTCCTCTGTGCATTCATCGACTGACTGAAGAGGTCTCAGGGTATGTGCGGAGCTAGTTTTCAGCCATCAATAACTGTTCCCCAGAAATTCGATCACTTCCATGTGTGCTGTACTCTGGCTTAATCCTCAGAGAGATGGCTCCTCTTAGGGTCATCTCATGGGGACAGAATTTTACTGAGGGTGACCACTATCAGATGTCACTTTGGGTTTCTCTTTCTTCCTCCAGGGAATTCATCTCTGTTCTCTGGTCTCCCATTTCAGCTCTCAGCTTACTTTTTATTACCTCTCTAGGATCAGAGGTTTCAGGTACGTGATAATCCATAGGATTAGAATTTATGATTTAGGGGCAAAGGCCAGAAAGACATATGAACCACATCTTAGAAACTAACAAATAGCTACAAATCTTACCTAAAATCATTCTTGCAAGCTTAATTTAGGTGATAAGCACTTAGCCATGACAATGCTCTCTCATTCAGAAAACTCTCACATTAGGAAACATATTCCAGAGGGGAAAAAAAGACAAGACTACATGGGGGGAAGGCAGACCCTTAAAAATAGAGCTCCTTTATACTGCTTTGGAAATATAAAAAATATGCCCTCTACACAGCCTGCATATTCTCAGTCCCTCATATAGAACCCTTCTGGCCTAAATTTCAAGTTCCCCATTCTCAGGGAAATATTTTCAATGAGGAAAATCCCTGGGAATCCAAGTCTGAAGGAGTGACCTACTCAAACTAATCCAAATGGAAATTTCAGAACCCTGAGGGATCTCTTTTATCTAGCAACCTAGTCTTTCCTAAATGGTCAAAGATGGAAATCTTTGGTTTACTTTTTGTTTCTGACTAGTTTTTACTTCTCATATTACTTACTATAGTAAAACAGCACACATTCCAAAAGAGAAAGCCAGGCATAAACCTAAAAACCAAATAGATACACCCAGAAACCCTTTCAATTCTGATCCATACACAAGTATCACAATGGTTCTGGAAATTGCTGTTCTATACTCTTGGCCTGCATTTTTTTTTTTTTCACTTCAAATCATAGCCATTTTCCTAATCTTTATGAAATTTTCACATAGAAAGTGCTGAATAAAATAGATTACAAAGTACCTACTGGGGAAATCATGTCATAAAATGGTACTGAAATACCGTTTTCCAGCCTAGGTTCCAATAACTATAGCAATTTTCCAATCTTCTCAACAAGCCCATCAGTGTTTGCATTCTCACTCTTTATTGTTAAAGAGGTCTACCTCACTTGCAATCACTCCACAGTAAGTTGTCCACTTAATGGTAATTTCCTCAGATTCAGGTCAGAGTGCTTTCTGCAAGGAAAAGTGCCAATATTTATTAGTTATGTGGCAATGTGTCATAAGGGCCAAGTTTGATTTTTTAATACAAAATTGTTGCAGTAAAATATGTGATTCATTGTTTTTCTTTCTTCTCCAGAATGAACTTCCAGATACACAATAACAGAAGGTTGACATTTGAAAGAAAAAAAAAAAGAAAGAAAAGAAAAGAAAGAAGGAAGGAAGGAGAAAGAAATGCAAGAAAAAGGAAAAGAAAAAAAAAAGAAATATACTCTGGCTGAAAGATTTCCAAACTAGTTACACTCATAGGGTTTCTCCTCAGTGTGAGTTGCCTGATGCCTAATAAGTTTAGAACTATTAATGAAAGCTTTCCCACACTGATTACATGTAAAGGGCTTTTCTCCAGTATGAGTTCTTTGATGTACAATAAGTCGAGCACTCAAGCTGAATGTTTTCCCACACTGATTACATTCATAGGGTTTTTCTCCAGTATGAGTTCTTTGATGTTGAGTAAGGCATGAACTCTGCCTGAAGGACTTCCCACACTGATTGCACTCATAGGGCTTTTCTCCAGTATGAGTTCTCTGATGCACAACAAGAACATAACTCTGGCTAAAGGACTTCCCACACTGGTTACATTCATAGGGTTTTTCTCCAGTATGAGTTCTCTGATGCATAACAAGGTGAGAACTGCGGTTGAAAGATTTTCCACACTCATTACATTCATAGGGTTTCTCTCCAGTATGAGTTCTCTGATGTGCAACAAGCTGAGAGCTCCAGCTGAAGGATTTTCCACACTGATTACATTCAAAGGGTTTTTCTCCTGTGTGAGTTCTCTGATGGGCGACAAGTTTGTAACTCTGACTAAAGGACTTTCCACACTGATTGCACTCGTAGGGCTTCTCTCCAGTATGAATTCTTTGATGTGCAATAAGTTTATAGCTCTGGATAAAGGATTTCCCACATTGATTGCATTCATAGGGCTTCTCTCCGGTGTGAGTTCTTTGATGGGCAATAAGTTTGTAGCTCTGCCTGAAGGACTTCCCACACTGATTGCACTCATAGGGCTTCTCTCCAGTATGAGTTCTCTGATGCACCACAAGAACATAGCTCTGGCTAAAAGATTTCCCACACTGATTACATCTGTAAGGTTTCTCTCCAGTATGAGTTCTCTGGTGAGAAACAAGGTGAGAACTCCGGCTGAAGGATTTCCCACACTCGTTACATTCATAAGGTTTCTCCCCAGTGTGAGTTCTCTGATGTGCAACAAGATGAGAGCTCCAGCTGAAGGATTTCCCACACTGATTACATTCAAAGGGTTTCTCTTCAGAATGGTTTCTCATGTTTTGAGCAAGGGATGAACTCTGGGAGGTTTGACTACAGTTATATTGACTCTCTTCAACAGGTATTCTCTGTTGTTCATTACGGGATATACTGTGGTTCAAAACTTGCCCACATTCCTTAAAATCTAAGGATCTTCCTCTTGCATGTATTTTCTGATGTATATTTAGGGGTACATCATGGCTAAAAGATTGAATACTGTCACTAAATCCATAGGATTTATCTTCTGTTTGAGTTCTTGTAAACTGAATAAGGTGAATGTTCTGGTGAGGGTTTCCACATTCATTATTCTCACAGAGTTTCTCACTGTCATTAATCATCTCATGAGTGTTTACAATGGAATTATAATGCAATTTTTTAACATGTGAGGCATGTTTATGAAGATGGTTTCTTATGGGTATCATCTGGGGTGAAAGAAGACTGGAATTCAGACCACTCTTCTCAAGTTCATCACTTTTATGGACTCTCTCATAAGTAATCGCTTTCCTGTGAGTAAATGCCATTTCTTTCAAAAGTCTCTCTTGTTTTTCCTGTTGCTTTTCCAACTGGCCCTTACAATCCTGAACTTCTTCACATGAAGATAACCAAGGATCATCTCTTGTCAACCTTTCTAACTTTACTCCACGGGATGGTTCATCATCAAAAATGTTCTGCTTTGATGTTGATTCTCTTCTTCCAAGTGCCATTGCCAAGTCTAGAAGAAAGCAAAATAAAACATTCTAGCCAAAGAATGTTAGAGCTGGAATACTGGGAAAGAAGCTGACAAACAAATATGCAGAATATATATGGATTTGTTTTCAGCTATGGACCTATAACCTGGATTAAGAAAACAGAAGGGTGGGATGAAGCAGTAAGCAGAAAAGTACACAGCCCAACAATATAACAATATTAAAATTCACTGTTTCTGAATAAAAAGACTTTAGATGCCAAATATCTCCATATTCCATATTAAGATCACGTGTGCAGAATCTACAGAATAACAAAACAATTTTGCAAGTCTTAGCAAAAACACCAGAGTCCTTTCTACCCTCTTTAGTGCTAGATACATGTAGAGAACAGTATCTACATTTCTAGGAATTTCTGGAGCCATGTGTCAGTTAGACATGGGCAAACTACTTTGTGAACCAAGAAAAAGAATATCCCAGGTCCCCTAAATACCTTAGCAGTTTTAAGGCCTGATGGATTCCTATGGTTCCAAGTGAGAGAGAACGGAGATTAGTTCAGAAGCAGAAGCCTGTGTGGCTACTAGGTCAAGCACAGAGAGTACATCTGGGAAAAGTGGCAATGTATACAGTCCATTAGGAGTGGGAGATGGAGAAATATGTAGTATGCCCTATGGGGATTTCTGAAATTAACCTTCAATACCTGTATGATTCCTAAGTGTCTGTTTCTCACCTGGATATGTATGTTGGGAAATGTTAATACTCATCCCCTTGCTCCCACAAGGAGATTGCATCTGGTTTGAAAAGCTGATAGGGACCAATATAGGACTTGGGGTGTTTGGGCTGGGGACAAAAGAAAATCACTGCAGAATTTGGTCCCAGTCTTTGGACTTTAGGAACTATGAAGACTGAACAAGCTCAAACCCAAGAAGCTGTACCTTTGCTACTCTACAAATTAAAATTAAATCTTCACTGGGGAATAAAAAGGACACATGTAATCTATGTGTGGTCAAAATCATCCTGACCTCTGAACTCCACAGCTCTTAATCAACTGGAATCATTTCAATATACAAACTTCATTAATTCTTACCCCAAGAGACCAGGTCCCTGTGGTTCTCTAGGATCACATCTCTAGGATCACACCTCTGATTAGGGTTCAAAGTGCCCTCTTCCTTCTGAGTGAAGTCCACAGTCACAATTTTGAAGTTCACTCCTTCCTAAAACAGGACACACATTCCTGCTCAGCCGGGTATCATTTTCTTCCAGTGTTCACAAAGGAGGAAAAGTTTGACAAACGGTAGAAGGAAAACTTGGCCTGGAAATTGTTCTGACTGTCCAAAGGAAGATCTAGTCAAGGTATATAGGTGTCTTTTATGTAAGGCCCTTTGGGTTTTGGATGCTGGACCTGTTTATACCCCAGAGAGGAACACCGGATCAGAACAGATATGAATTGTTTTCTCTCTTGTTCACCTTGAAGAAAATGCTTATTCTGATTTTTGCCCTGGTGAATATGAAATTCCCACTTAGGAATTCCCTCCAAATTCCCAAGAAGCTAACAAAACAGGGTCAGCACACTTTTTCTGTCAAAGGTCAGAGAGTCAACATTTTAGGCTTTGCAAGCCAGAGTCTCTATCACAACTACTCAGCTCTCCTGCAGCAAGAAAGCAGGCACAGAAAATATATAAGCAAATGGGTGTGGCTGTATTACAATAAAGTTTTATTTACAAAAGCAGGCAATGGGCCATATTTGGCCCACAGGCTTTACTTTACTGATGCCTAAAATAGAAGATGAAATGTAGGCCTTAATGAAAGGCTGCATGTATAGGTTAAGAGCACTGGATTTGGAAAAGCGATGGGTTTTCTCATCTATTAAGAGCAAAGGTTGGGGCACCTGGGTGGCTCAGTAGGTTAAGTGTCTGCCTTCAGCTCAGGTCATGATCCCAGGGTCCTGGGATGGAGCCCCACTTTGGGCTCAATGGGGAGTCTGCTTCTCCCTCCGCCCCTCCCCCTGCCCCTGGCTCACGCTCTCTCTCTTAAATAAATTTTTTTTTTAAAGATTTTATTTATTTATTTGAGAGACAGAGAATGAGAGAGAGCACATGAGAGGGGGGAGGGTCAGAGGGAGAAGCAGACTCCCTGCCGAGCAGGGAGCCCGATGTGGGACTTGATCCCAGGACTCCGGGATCATGACCTGAGCTGAAGGCAGTCACTTAACCAACTGAACCACCCAGGCGCCCTTAAATAAATTTTCTTAAAAATCTAAAAAAAAAAAAAAAAAAGAGCAAAGGTCTGAATTTTTAAAAATATATATATATCTAATCTGACCATCTGTCTTTTTTTTTTTTTAAATATTTTATTTATTTATTTGAGAGAGAGAATGAGATAGAGCATGAAAGGATCAGAGGGAGAAGCAGACTCCCCGCCGAGCAGGGAGCCCGATGCGGGACTCGATCCCGGGACTCCAGGATCATGACCTGAGCCGAAGGCAGTCGCTCAACCGACTGAGCCACCCAGGCGCCCCCATCTGTCTTCTAAGGTGAGTTTATCCCATTTGTATTTATTAGGCTTAATCATAACCAACTCATTGGGTTGTTTGGCAAATTAATTGTATGATATATGTAAAGCTATTAGCAACTCACTGAACAAAAAGACAAATGCTGGCAAATGGGATTGATGGGTGATGGGTATCAAGGAAGGCACTTGTTATGATGAGCGCTGGGTGTTGTATGTAAGTGAGGAAATTTTAAGAAAAGATTATTAGATCTGAGAACTCTGAACAATTAAGTGACAGCCAATGTGACCTTTATCTTGAACTCTCAGGCTTGAGAGGACAGTTCCATTTTGTCCACACTCAGAGCTGCATTGTAAAGCCTTCAGGAGGCACACTGTTGCTACTGTCATGCGGAGGGGGTCTCTTGGACTGCCTCCTCTCAGCAAGAAAGGACCCGTTTCCAAGACTACTGGGCAGGAATTTTGATCCAATAAAGTGCTGAGGGTGATCTGTCCTTACCCAAAGGCAGCAAAGGCTGGGAAAGTGGAATGCCACTTGTCACTAAAGGCTTTTTAAGTAGAGCTGGTGTTCCTGAGCTGTGGTGCATGAACAGGACAAAGTCCCTGAGTCCCACGTAACCCCATGCAAAATGCTGCTGTACCTGCATTTTTCTAAGTTGGGACCCATAAATTTCACCGAAACCTCAGAAGTTTTCATGATTAGCCCAAAACAAGATTCAGATATATCATCTGCACTCTGCCACCTATGTTGAACATGGATCTATAGGTACTGTTTTTCAAGCTCCAATTCATACTTCCTTTTCATAAACACTCCCCCTCACTGTTTAACGCAGGTCCCTTTAATATCAAGCTTGTTCAGGGGCACCTGGGTGGCTCAGTCGGTTAAGTGTCTGACTTCAGCTCCGGTCATGATCTCGGGGTCCTGGGCTCGGGCCCCGCATCAGGCTCCCTGTTCAGGAGGGAGTCTGCTTGGCCCTCTGCCCCTCCCCCTGCTTGTCCTCACTCTCTCTCTCTCAAATAAATAAATAAAACCTTAAAAAATATATCTGGCTTATTCAAAGGTCAAATAAATAATACCAAACTAGATTAGCACCCCTCCCTCCAACTCCACCCCCAGCTATATGTTCCAAAAGTTCCATGGATTTCTATCCTAAGACTCACATGTTCTGTTCATTTGCATAATGGTCATCTTTGTCACAAGGCTTCAGTCCATGAGGGCAGGGGTAAAGTAGTGACTGTTTGTAACTATAACTCCAGTGCTTAGCATAGTGTTGGTGTATAGTAGTTATGAAATATATGTATTTGGCAAATGATTTCAATGAGTGAATCCATAGTATCAACAGACTTCGTAATATATCAAAATAATCTGATTTTTGGTCTGAATTCTGATTTAAGTCCTCTCTCTCACCTGAATCTCAGAGGCCTATCACACACCTATTTGAAAAGTCCCTTCAACGTGTGGATACTGGTTTTTCTCCACTTTTATCTCCATTTATTCTATTCTTCTTCTCACCTGCCCCAACTCCCCACTCCTCAAAATTCCTTCCCAAACCCTTCAACTGTGTCCTTGGGCACTCTACTTCTAAATAACGAAACCCTACAGCTTCAACATCATCACCAAATATTCCCTCTATATCCCCGTGTTAATGGAAACCTACCTTTCCCCCCAATGACGCCCTCCTCTGCAGGCCCCACAGGCTCACAGTCGCTCAGCATCAAAGGGGGAGGATGTGTATCCCCCTAGTCACACTGAAACTCACACCATTTACCTTACTTCTTGGACCTTTGTCCTACCAACCACCTGAACACTAACCCCCATCCACGGGAAATGTATAATACCTCGGATGCATCCTCTACTTTAAGAACTTATCTTGTCTTGTCTTGCACTGTCTCTAGCATCCATTTGTAGAGTTCTCTGATAATAATATAACACTAATTGACTTTTTAATTTTTTTAAAGATTTATTTACTTATTTTTGAGGGGAGGGGTAGAGGGAAAGGGAGACAGAATTTTAAGCAGACTCCGTGCTGAGCACCGAACCCAATGCAGGGCTCGATCTCATGACCCTGAGATCAGGACCTGAGCCGAAGCCAAGAGTCAAACGCTTAACTGACTGCCCCACCCAGAAGCCCCTAAAACTAACTGACTTTAATGAGGCACTTTCTGTGCGCTATCAGGCGTGAGCTAAGCATGTTGCATCAACTATCATTCATTGAATTCTCACAAGGTCCCTGAGAGAAAATACTAGCAGCAGCACCTTTTTTTCCAATAAAGAGCTAGAAGGATAAATTAACACGTATGTCTGAAGTCAGTGGCTGGGACGCAGCCTCCAACTTTGCCTAACGTGTGTTCTCAGTCATCAATGCCTAGCGCTAGCCCAACTCCCAGCCCCTAGAATTGCTCCTCAGCACCCTGCTCTTACGCTGAGACCCCAGACCTTGAAATCACCATAAAGTACTCCATCTCTCAAGTCACACAGACAGAACGCTCTACAACATCAGATTGCTCTCCCTTACTCGTTTCATTCTTTGATGGTTTGGGGCCATTACTCAACTCAAGTATCTACTATTACTATCCACTGGTCTATATTCTTTTCCTTCCCATTTAATGCCCCTTTTATCTTTTCCATCTTGATTATTCCATTTAGAGTAATTAGATCATTCATTTTAATCTTTCTATTTGTTCTATTCAAAAATCCTCTTTCAAATAGTACCTTGCCCTATGGGGCTTTCACTGAATGTACCTGGCTACAAGAACGAACCTGAGTGTCAATCTACGATCTAAAGAAAGTAGGTTCCAGAATGCCACTGGGAAAGAAAACTCCCAAGAGCAGCTGTATAGAGTACTATCAGTGGTCACTACCTCGGAATGATCCTTTCGGACTGACCGGCAACCCCGTTATACCTCCTGGAGGCTGCTTGTCTCTCGTAATCCAATAGTACTGTTTTTCAGCCCTCTCCACCCGTGTCAAGCACCTCTCCATTCCAATTCCCAGCCCCATACCCAACAGATAACCACCTGACTGCTCCCAGAGAAGAATCCGAGCATTCCAAGAATTCCCTCACCCTCATTCTTCCCATACGGGTCGGTCCTCCCTCCTCGGCAGAGCCAACATGTTGACCTGAAAGATTTCCTCTGGTGCTAATCAAGGACTCTGCTTTGTCGTTTTAACTCCTCTCTCGCCACTTCCGTCTTTCTGCAACCCACTGAAATAGAGTCAAATCTTTTCAATCCTTTAAAGGGGGAAAAAAAAAAAAGCCCTCAACTTCAAACCTCCTTGCAGCCATCACTCTCTTCAATCTTTAGCATGAGAACTGACCACGTTTTTTGTAAAAGCTGTCCAACTGTACCTCCGTTTCCTCCCTTTCTGCTCACCTCCTGGCTCACTTCAAGCTGGTCCCTGCTGCCAACTGGCCATGCACATTTCTCAGTGGAGAGAGGCAGACTCACCTGGGATGGAAGGGCCAGTGACCCAGCATCTTCTCTCTCGACCTTGATGATAATCTCTGGAGGAAGGAGAGAGTCCTAAGAAAGCAAAACAGATGAGGAAAAGGAAAATAACCAGGAAGCTAAGTTGTGACTCAAAACTCCCACTGTGAGTAGGCTAGGATTCGAAAAACCACCTGTTTTTAACACATCCCACCTACAATACTTCTGCTCCCTCCCATTGGTAAGCTCAAGCTAGCCATGTGGAGAGACAGGGGAC